GACTGTGGGGGAAACCGGAGCACCCGGAGAAAACCCACGCCAACACGGGGAGAACATGCAAACTCCACACAGAAACACCAACTGACCCAGCTGAGACTCAAACCAGAGACCTTCTTGGTGTAAGAGATTGTGCTGCCCCAAGTGCATAGTATCGTAAATGAATGCTTCTTTCTCAGATATGATGAATCAGTATGTGTGAATCACTAACACTGAGCACAGAGAGAGTTTCCAGCGACACTTCATCTACTGGTTAACCCGGTTTTAACCCGAGAAATAAATCAGAGTGTGTGATGGTGAAGAGTCGCCGTATCTGTGTGTGAGATTGATAATCCAACATAAAACACATTTCAGATTCAACACACGGCAGGAGGAAACATGAGGATGATGGATGATTCCCTTACAGAAACACACCGAAAAAAAGAATGATGCATTGGATTTACTGCACTTTTTTTGAGGTCAAAATGATTCGCCCTCCTGTGAACATTTCCCTAATGATGTTGAACAGATTCAGGAATTGTTCACAGTATTTCCTCTAATATTTGTTCTTGTGGAGAAAGTCTGATTTGTTTTATTTCGGCTAGAATAAAAGCAGTTTTTAATAGTTTTAAACCCATTTTAAGGTCAATATTATTAGCCCCCTTCAGCAATATTAGTGTTGGATTGTCTCCAGAACAAAGCACTGTTTTATTTATATTATATTTATTTATATTATTTATAAGGACAGTGCCTATTTTAAATGTTTATCATCTCGCAGATTCAGCGCGTAAGCGGCCATCAGCCTGTCATACTGAGCAGAGCAAAAATTGTTTATGTTCTGCCACAAGATGGCAACGGAGACGGCATAATAAGTCCTTATGCTGTGTTCACACCAGACACGAAATGTGCGGATAAATCGCGCTATTCGCGTGTAAATAGCCGCGTGAACATTTGAGTTTACTTGCTTTATTTGCGCGTCAAACCCTGCTTCATTCTTGCGTCAAATCCCCTTCATTCGCACGTCAGATTCACTTCAGAACAGCCGTGGATTCGCATGATGGGCAGGGCTTCTGTCTGCCCGAAGACTCTAGCTTCATAGCTAAAGGGCTAACATGGATTTTTTTTTAAAAATAACAGTGTTTATGTGCTTTATGAAGACTGAAAAACAGCGTCGATACGTTTAGGGTCGTGTCTGAGTCCACTAGATCCTTTCAGAGGTGCATCCAGCACCGTCAGCTCATAAACTCCTCCAGAAACTGAACCTGGATGATGGAGGCTTTCAGCGGTGCCTCTGACTGAGCCAAGCCCAGTTTGATGAACTGTTGTTGGTGAAGGCTGGAGGATTTCCCCCGGATCACCGACAACAGGCGATACGTCACAATCACGCCCCCACAAGAGCAAGCTCCTGATTGGTTAACGTGGCGCGAATATCCCCTGAAGTTCAGATTTTCGAACTCGAGTGATTTGCGCGAAACCCGCGTTAAGTACATCAAACGCGCAAAACGCTCAATTCGCGATGCGACATTCGCGCGTATCTCGCTATTCGCACCGCGCCATTCACGCAATTCGCGTCATTCGCGCAGCGCCATTCACGCCGCAGGATGTCTATTCGTGCATTTGCATTGACTTAACATGTAAATCACTCGCGCTTGATGCGCATTCCGCGTCTGGTGTAACCGCAGCATAAGAGGACAAAAACTCAGCGTAAATTAAAACTAAAGCTGATCGAATCATTGTAAATCAGGTAAGTGACACTCTAAAGCCGCCTTTCTACTGCACACGACATTTGGACACGACTGTAGGAATACACCCCCTTGTGGCAGTCGCACAGAATTTTCAGTTCTGACGTGCACCATAGGAGAGAAGCTGTTCTCGCAGTGTCCGAAATAAAGGAGTCTTTATTTTCTGAGCGTTCACCATGGTTGAATGAATGAATACTAGAAACTCAGACCGCTAAAATATTGGAGGGAATGTGTAGACAACATGAAAATATATATTTTTATTACTTTATTACTTACATTTATGAATAGAAATGTTTTTTTTATTTTTATATAGACTTTCTCCACGCAGCTCCCGGACTACTCTCCATTGGAATTAAATGACTCCGGTCTGTCGCTTGTCATTTGTCGTGGGCAGTGAAAAGGAGACTCATGCCGTACTCACACTAGGTACAGTTGCCTCGAACCGGGCCAAAGCACGCTTGTCCCCCCTCCCGTCTCCCCCGACGGCCCGCGCTCACACCACAAACGGGCCTCGGCACGCTTACGTCATCGCTGCTGGGCTGTTCAGTGAGAAGCGCTCTCTCACTCAGCAGCACAGTGGAGATTTCTCTAGTTTTATCGTTTCAGTCATTTGATATGCCGTCAAATATTTCGCCAAACAGTCCTTAGAGATGCGGGGACACGCAGTCAGATATTTCGCCGAACAGATCCGCCACTTTTGGCGCTCATAAACAATCATAAAGCTCTCGTGCTGCAGGAATGAGGAGGTCTGATGAAGGCGCGCAGCTGTCGTGAAGTGAGGAGTTTGCGTCTTTAATAAACTACGGCAGTTTGCGTTCACTGAACAGTAAGAATGATTAATAAATCCATATGAAACAGTGCCTTTTAAAAGTGACGTCTCGCTTTCAGTTTCGTGCTTTGGCACACACACACACACACAAGCGTACCGCGTCAAAGCCCAAGTGAACCGGGCTCAGGCACAACTCTTCCAACCGGGCCAGGGCCGGCCAAGTGAACCGTGCTTGAGCCCGATTAAGCGCACTCACACTTTTCAAACGATCCGGGAAACGGGCCTGGGCATGGTACGGATGGCATAGTGTGAGTAGGCCCTTAAGTCGATCTCGCTCTCTTGTATGTTGTAGTGCTGTATGTAGACCCCAGTATTCTGCTAGTGTTTGCTTTGCTCTGGCTTTCTCAGGGTTAATTATTGTAATCTCCTAACTGCAGCAGAGAAATACTGGAAAATCTCTGTAGACTGATGTCATTTCATGCTGTTCAGCCTTGTAATCTAAAACTATGAGCAAAATCAGCTGTTTTGTCATCACTTTAGACATCACGCTAGAGAATCATTCAAACACTAGCTCTACAGTGACGTTGGTGAATGAGCAGCGGTTTCTGCTGTTCTGACGTCAGCTGCAGATATGAATGAATGGCAGAAGAAAGTACTTCCTCATTTAAAAGGGTTTTAAGACTCTATATACACGATTATATACACGATTGTGCCGTCAAACTGTTTTATAAAAGCAATATCACATGAGTAGCAGTGCTATATGGCTGTATATCAGCACTGCTGGGACACTCGGGCACTCGGCTTGTGGCCTCAAGACAACGAATGCCGATATACAGCCATAACACACTGCTACTCATGTGATATTGCCCAAATACATTTATTTCTGTAAATTTATTTATTCATGATCATTTATTTATTTATTTTAGCAACCTTTCCTTCTTTTCTTTTCCCCAGCAGTCTACAGAAGGCTTATTCTCCTCTGGTTTCTCTTCTCCAGCTTCTTCATTAATTACAGCCCTAAAAGTCTTTTCATTAATCAGGCCGAGACTCAAACTGACAAGAGCTCAATGAGTGTGAAGCTGATCAGACCCTCACCGATACTGTACACAACTCACTGTTACGGCAGATCTACAGCGTCTGTAAGCTGTGTGTGTGTGTGAGAGTGTGTCTGAATGCTTGTGTCTGCATTTGTAAGTGCATGCGTTTGTGTATGTGTGTATATGCGTCCGTGTGTGTGTGTATAAAAGTGATCCAGCAATCAGTGTGTGTGACCCTGGTGCTCCTTGTGAAACACTCTTTTCCAGCAGCAGAAAGTGTCGAGGCCTCATTAATGCAGCAGTTGCTCTGCTGCTCTTTTTGTGAACACACACACACACACACACACACACACAGTGGTTGCACAGCTCTAGAGTGGTCGACTTTAATGCACTGCCATTTTTTTGATTGTCGTTGACTGGTCATGCTGAGCAGATCAGGTGGTATTTGACTTGAACAACACGGCAGCCTTAAACACGAAGGTAGGTTCACAGAATGAAACTGCCATCAGAGCGTTTTTATATTATACTGTCAACTGTTTATATTATACTATCAATAAACTATACAATTAATATTATACTATCAATATAATGTCAATTGTTACTGTTGACTGTTATCATCAATTCTGTTACCCACAACTCTGTTACCGTCAACTGTTATACTGTCAAATCTTTTATCGTCAACTCTCTTATCATCAACTGTTACCGTCAACTCTTTTATTGTCAACTCTGTTACCTTCAACTGTTTTACCGTTCAAATCTTTCATCATCAAATTTGTTCGTCAACTTTCTTATTATCATCTGTTACTGTCAACTCTGTAATCGTCAACTTTGTAATAGTCAACTCTGTTGTCATCAATTCTGCAATAGTCAGCTGTTATCGTCAACTGTTATCATCAACTTTGTTACTATCAACTATATTAGTCAACTGTTATCGTCAACTCCGTTATTGCCAACTCTGTAATCTTCAACTATGCCATGGTCAACTCTGTTATTGTCAACTGTTATCGTCAACTCTGTTATCGTCAACTCTGTTACTGTCAACTTTGCTATCGTCAAGTCTGCAATGGTCAACTCTGTTATCGTCAACTCTGTTTTGTCAACTTTGCTACTGTCAACAGTTATCGCCAACTGTTATTGCAACTCTGTTATTGTCAACTCTGTTATTGTCAACTCTGTTATTGTCAACTGTTATCGTCAACTCTCTGTTATTGTCAACTGTTATCGTCAACTCTCTGTTATTGTCAACTGTTATCGTCAACTCTCTGTTATTGTCAACTATTATTGTCAACTCTGTTACAGTCAACTGTTATACTGTCAAATCTTTTATCGTCAACTGTTATCGTTGGCTCTCTTATCATCAACTGTTATCGTCAAATCTGTTCCCTTTAACTCTTTTACCATTAGCAGTTAAACTGTCAAATCTTTTATCATCAAATCTGTTCGTCAACTCTCTTATCATCATCTGTCATCGTCAACTCTGTTCTCGTCGACTCTGTTCTCGTCGACTCTGTTCTCGTCGACTCTGTTCTCGTCGACTCTGTTCTCGTCGACTCTGTTCTCGTCGACTCTGTTCTCGTCGACTCTGTTCTCGTCGACTCTGTTCTCGTCGACTCTGTCATCGTCGACTCTGTTATGGTCAGCTGTTATCAACAACTCTGTTATCGTCAATTCTGTTATTGTCAACTCTGTTATCATCAGTTGTTATCGTCAGCTGTTATTGTCAACTCTATTACTGTTAACCCTGTTATCGTCAACTGTTATCGTCCACTCTGATAACGTCAACTGTTATACTGTCAAATCTTTTATCGTCAACTCTTATCGTTAGCTCTCTTATCATCAACTGTTATCGTCAACTCTGTTCCCTTCAACTCTTTTACCATTAGCTGTTAAACTGTCAAATCTTTTAAAGATTTGTTCGTCAACTCTCTTATCATCTGTTATCGTCAACTCTGTTGTCGTCAACTCTGTTGTCGTCAACCCTGTTATCGTCAACTCTGTTATCGTCAACTTTGTTATCGTCAGCTGTTATCATCAACTTTGTTATTGTCAACTCTGTTATCGTCAACTCTGCCATGGTCAACTCTGTTATTGTCTACTATTACTGTCAACTCTGCTACAGTCAACAGTTATCGACAACTGTTATCGTCAACTCTGTTATTGTCAACTGTTATCATCAACTCTGTTACAGTCAACTCTGTTATTGTCAACTGTTATTGTCAACTAAATGTAAAACTCTTGAAAAGAGGTGTAAACTCAAAGTCGTCTCTTCTTTAAGTGAGGAGTGTAATTCTGTGACTGTCTTTTCTTTGCTTTAATGTGCTGCTGTGATCGTCGTCTGTGTCCCAGAGCAATTAAATGCGTTTTTGAGGATGTAATTATTCCTCCGCAGATGTAATTATGCAGTTGCACCTATGCTGTGCCGTTAGTTGTGTTGGGTTTGTTATTGAGTGCCTCTGACCTGCTGTTTACTGAACACTCACACAAACTCACACACACACGTACACACACACACGTACACACACACACACACACACACACACACACACACACACATTATATACTCTACATATCAAAATACATTATTCTGTCTAACTTATAAGCAGTTTTTCTCATGGGGATCAAAAAAATGTCCATACAAGATCACAAATTACTGGTATTGTCATACTTGTGGGGACATTGCAATACCTGCGGGTCCCCACAGTTTGAGGAATACAAGGCACACACAAACACACACAACTACAGATGAACAAAAGTCACTGCATACACAACAAACAGATTCTCAAGGATAGAGCTTCTCTGACAGGTCACCGCAGGTTATATTCACAGATTCAAATGATCCATTCAAAGAGAGAGACTCTCCAGTTAACAACAAACTGAATTAAATGATTCAGTAAGAGTGAGTCTCCATTCAATGACTCACTGATTCAAATGATCCATTCAGAGAGAGAGAGACTCTCCAGTTAACGACGAACTGATTTAAATGATTCAGTCAGAGTGAGTCTCCATTCAATGACTCACTGATTCAAATGATCCATTCAGAGAGAGAGAGACTCTCCAGTTAACGACAAACTGATTTAAATGATTCAGTCAGAGTGAGTCTCCATTCAATGACTCACTGATTCAAATTATCCATTCAGAGCAAGTCTACAGTTAACAAGTCACTGATTCAAATTATTTCTTCAGAGTAAGTCTCCAGTCCACAACTCACTGATTCAAATGCAAATAGAGTTTCCAGTCGTAGACAAACTGATTCAAACGATTCAGTCACAGTCTCAAGAAACTAAGTTTAGTCTCTAGTATATGACTCTCTGATTCGAAATGATCCATACAAAGTAAGTCACCATGACTCATTTATTCAAGTGATCCATTCAAAGTGAGTCTCTAGTTTATGACTCAGTGATTCAAATGATTAATTTAAAGTGAGTCTTCAGTTAACGACTCACTGATTCAAACAATTTTATCAAAATGAATCTCACAAAGAACTATTTTTATAAGTGCAAGTAGAAATAATGAATCAAATTTGGATGAATCAGTCAATGTATTATTGATTCAAATGATTCGATCCAAGTGAGCCACCAATGAACAACTTACAGACTCAAATGATCCATTCAGAGCGAGTCTCTAGTTTATGACTCAGTGATTCAAATGATCCATTTAAAGTGAGTCTTCAGTTAACGACTCACTGATTCAAACAATTTTATCAAAATAAATCTCACAAAGAACTATTTTTATAAGTGAAAGTAGAAATTATGAATCAAATTTGGATGAATCAGTCAATTTATTATTGATTCAAATGATTCGATCCAAGTGAGCCACCAATGAACAACTTACAAACTCAAATGATCCATTCAGACCGAGTTACCAGTCAACAACTCACTGATTCAAATGCAGACAGAGGGTCCAGATAAAGACAAACTGCTTTAAACGATTCAATCAAAGAGTCTACAGTTTACTAAGAGTCTAATTTGTCTCCAGTTTATGGCTCACTGATTAAAATGATCCATACAATGCAAGTCTTCAATTAATGACTCACTGATTCAAATTATCCATACAATGCAAGTCTTCAGTTAACAACTCACTGATTCAAATAATTTTGTGAAACTGAATCTCACGAGTAACTATTTTCATTATTGCAAGCAAAAATATTGAATCAAATGCATTTTAAGAATGAATCAGTCAATGAATCATTGGTTTAAAAGATTTAATTCAAGTGAGCCACCAATAAACAGCTCACTGACTCAAATGATCAATTTAGAGAAAGTTTTCAGTCAACAACTTACTAATTTAAATGCCGAAAATATGTCCAGTCAGAGACGAACTGATTCAAACGATTCAGTCAAAGAGTCTCCAGTTAACTAAGAGTTTAATTCATCTGTTTAAGACTCAATGATTCAAACGGTCCAGTCATAGAGAGTCTCCAATTAACAACTCACTGCTTCAAGTGATTCATTCAAAGCAAGTCTCCAGTTAATGATTCACTGATTCAAATGATCCATTCAAAGCGAGTCTCCAGTTAATGACTCACTGATTCAGATGATCCATATAGAGAGTCTCCAGTTAATGACTCAGCGATTAAAATGATTTATTCAAAGCGAGTCTCCAATTAACAGCTCATTGAATCAAATGGTCGATTAAAGGGAGTCTCCAATTAACAACTTACTAATTCAATTGATCTATTTAAAGCGAGTCTCCAGTCAATGATTCACTGACTGATTTACGCAAAGTGAGTCTCACAAATAATAATTTTGGCTTAAATGTATTTTAAGTTTTGTTTTTTTATAATTTTAAGTCGACATTCTCATTTCCGAAGCCTCTTTAGTGCTTTGCAGTGAGGGTACACCGACAGTACATCAGTGTCCAGCAAAGTGGTGTGGAACTGAAGTGTTGAGTGGGACAGAATGATTCAGTGCTGGCGATTCAGCAGGAGAATCAGCTCTGATCACGCGCCGCGCTATAAAACAGCAGGTCAATGTATCACAGCTCTCGGCCCGGCGGATGATTTATTACAACACATCAGGCTTTAGATTAAAGTCAGCGTGGAGCAGCTCTAATGCATACAGCGTCCAATCTGAGAGAGTTTCTGCACACAAAACACACAGAACCACTGTAATCCTTCAGCCGCCGTCAGCCGTGCACACAAATACATGCAGAGGATGGAGCAGACCTGCTAAACACTGCCGTCCTCACAAACAACATCCAATATGTGGAGAGCGTGCTTTTCTTACTGACACCTTCTTATACAACTGTCTAAAATGGTTTAAATTAAGAATATTGTCTTGTTTTCAGAAATAATGAGTCAAAATTAAGGGAGTTTTTCCCTAAAACAAGCAACATAATCGGGTACTGGTCTTCAGTAAACGACTCGCTGATTCAATCAAAGTGAGTCTCCAGTTAACAACTCACTGATTCAAATGATTCAGTCAAAGTGAGTCTCCAGTTAACAACTCACTGATTCAAACGATTCAGTCACAAAGTTTCCAGTTAATTAACAGTTTGTTGAGTCTTCAGGTAACTTACTGATTCAAACTATTTATTCATAGTTTCCAGTTAACTAACAGCTAAACAAGTCTTTAGTTAACGACTCATTGATTCAAATGATTCAGTCAAAGCAAGTCTTCAGTTAACCACTCATTGATTTAAATGATTCAGTTACCGAGTCTTCTGTTAATAAACAGTTTAATGAGTCTTCAGTTAACGACTCACTGATTCAAATGATTCAGTCAAGTTTCCAGCTAACTAACAGTTTGATGAGTCTTTCAGGTAATAACTTACTGATTCAAATCAAAGCAAGTCTCAAGTTAACGAATCACTAATTTAAATGATTCAGTAAGAAGCAAGTCTTCAGTTAACGGCTCACTGATTCAAATGATTCAGTCAAGTTTCCAGCTAACTGTTTAATGAGAATTCAGGTAATAACTCACTGATTCAAATGATTCAATCAAAGCAAGTCTCTAGTTAACAACTCACTGATTCAAATGATTCAGTCATAGTTTTCAGTTAACTAACAGCTCAATGAGTCTTCAGGTGACAACTCACTGATTCAAATGATTCAATCAAAGCGAGTCTCTAGTTAACAACTCACTGATTCAAATGATTTATACACAGTTTCCAGCTAACTAACAGTTTAATGATTCACCAGTTAATGACTCACTGATTCAAATGATTCAGTGAAGTTTCCAGCTAACTAACAGATTAATGAGTCTTCAGGTAATATCTCACTGATTCAAATGATTCAGTCATAGTTTCCAGTTAACTAACAGCTCAATGAGTCTTTAGATGACAACTCACAGAATCAAATGATTCAATCAAAGCGAGTCTCTAGTTAACAAATCACTGATTCAGATGATTCTGTCACAGTTTCCAGCTAACTAACAGTTTAATGATTCACCAGTTAATGACTCACTGATTCAAATGAATAGTTTCCAGTTAACTAATAGCTCAATGATTCACCAGTTAATGACTCACTGATTCAAATGATTCAATCAAAGCGAGTCTCTAGTTAATGACTCACTGATTCAAATGAACGGCTGCTTCTCACTCAGGGCTGCTGTTTATGCTAATGAGGGAGAGATGGGCACTACTGGGCGGGGCATTTCCCCTCTGATGACATCA